GGACTAGACATGAATGCTATGAAAACTAAAGTTAAAGGAATGGGAGAGATGGAGGCTGGGCTATGTAGGATGGGGCAGTTCTTTCAGAAGACCAGTAGAGATAAAGAAAAGCCATTCTAGAGGAACCAGAAGGCGCAAAGGCCTTCCTGTGGAAGCTGGTTTGAGTGCTCAGGAATCATTGTAATGAGCAATGGGAAGAGCCTGAGAAATATGAGGGAGAAGTCTTGGAAGCCTGTAGGCCACTGGATCACATGTCGAGTGAGTGGGAAACGGATGGAGTCAGGGAGTGGCATGCTGTGAGTTATGTTTTCTCTTTTCTTTTAACTAGTTAGTATTTCTCTCATATAGATGTTATTTGAAAATGTCAGCAAGTGCATATAATGGATTTATTAGAGGCTGGGAAGGATTGAGGAAGAAGAAATGAGAGAAGATGACAGCAGTTATCCAGTAGAATAAATTCTAATGTTTTAGAGAACAGTGGAATTGCAGTTCATAATGCCCTATTATCTATTTTAAGAGTAACTAAAAAACTGGAGTTCAAAGGCTTAAATGCAAAAAAAAAAAACCAATGTTGAAGAGATAGAAATGTTAACTACCTCAATTTTCTCAGCATATTGTACATATATATTGAAGTGTCACTCTGTATTCCATAAACATATAATTATTATATTTTATTCAAGGCTTTTAAGACATACCAAGAAATGGAAATACTACTAGCCCTGACTTGACCATCTCTTATACTGTATGCTTGTGGTAAATCATTATACTGTATCCTCTAGCTTTGTGAAGTTAAAATAAATGCTAAAAAAGGATGACTTGGGGTTCTGTACTGAGGACAAACCATAAAAAAGCCAAGACAGAAGTAGGCAGAATATTCAGGAAGTTGTGCGAATTGTCCTGAGAGGCGGAGTTGGAGAGGTGGCCAGGTTATAGACATATTTTTAAGCAAGTGCTGCCGGATGCAGGATGACTACTCTTCATGGATGAGTAGCCGTAAAATCTTAGAACAGGGGAGAATTCTAGGGCAGGTAAAAGCTACCAAAATTACTTGAGAAGGAAGGGAAGAAAGTACGTAAGTTAAAAAATCACACTACCTTTGCTGAGTTCTTATTGTACATCACCACTGTGCAATACCCACTGTCTAGACTGTATCACTTAGTCCTTCCACTATTTCCATTGTCAGTCGAGAAACTGAATGAAGAGAGGGAGCAAGGCGAGCTCTGGGTTACATGTGATCTGATGCCTCTTAATTATTTGTACATTTCACCCTCCATTTTCTTTCTATGAGAAGTGAAAGCTTTCCCACAGTTGGGGAAAGAGGGTTCAGGGATGAATAGTCAAGACTGGGAGTTGAAAAAGACTGACCGACTCTCTCTCTCTCTCTCTCTCTCTCTCTCTCTCTCTCTCTCTCTCGCACACACGCACACACACACACAGCTCATTAAAGATCTAAATAGAACAAGGCAACAGATGACATTGTTTTCCGTAGGGAAGCTGTTGGTGTGATTTGGGGCTCAATCCTCTCGTGGCTGCTTGTTTGACATCTAGATTAAGCCAGCGACAGAACTGTCATCTTTCTAGAGCTCCCCAAAAGTCATCCTCCTCACTGAAAGGTCTCCTCAGGTGCCACACTGGTGTGGACCAGATTCTTGCTCTTAGTCCTCTGAAATAAACATCTCCACAATCTTATTTAGCACAAACACACGGACCTGAAATCCAGAAGGCTGGCAAGATGGAAGTTGAGTCATGACGTATTTATTAAGCCGAGCACCGAGTTTGACACTCAGAGGAACACAAAATTAATTCAAGACACATTTCTTGCCCTTAAGGGGCTTACAACATTGGTTTAGCTAGGAGACCACCCAACAACCATTAGGATGGAGAAATCAAATCTCCACATTGGGCTCAGTGTACTGCACAGAGTGACAGGCGAGGAGATTAAACGGGCCTTGGTGCATATGGAATGCACACCCGGCCTGCAGCCCCTCAGCCTGTGTGCATTAACTCCACCAGCAGCCTGGTTGCAGAGTGAAGGTGGCTGTTTGTGCATAAACATTGTCATTTCACTGGGACTGCTATTTCATCTTTGAACCTTGGCATCAAAGGAACACTGACCTTATTGCTGTAGCTTGCTTCTCTTTGAAGCGTATGGCTTTGCATTGCAGATTAAAGTGAAGACATTCATCAAGGAACAGATCTGGCCAACCGCTCCCCAAACTTGCCCATAACAAAGCCTTGAAAGGTTCCAGTCACAGTTGCAATAGGTTGAGGAAGGCTTGGAGCCAGGCTCCTCTTTCTCAGATCCTGTGTGGCAGATCTAGCAAGATGTAGCCTTTGGAGCTTTGGGTAACTTTATTCTCAGCAGAGAAGGCCAAGTTAATACAGTATTCTGACCTATCCTATTTATTTGAGCAGGTATTGTTATAAATGAGGTCAATGTGATCATTCCCAGACTGCCTTTGAATCCTTTAAAGGATGTGTCAGGTAGAGTTACCTGAACCTTGGTGATTCTGTGAAAGGGAACTGCTTTCTTTTGTTCATTGATTTGAAAAAAATAAAACAATATCAATAACAAAACCTCACAAAACAAACAAACAACCCCCCCAAAAAAACTGTCTTAAATTTCCTCCTATGTCTATTTTGACTCACAGCATTCTGTTTTCTTTTAATTCATAAGATTCCAAGAGACATGAGGTAGAGTATTTTAATTATGATGCTAAGAATATAAGAACAGGTTAATATGAAAGGGGGAGAATTTCACAATGTCCTATCTCTAGATAAAGAACTATAGGCAACTAATGACTATTGGGAGCAGGAAACTGGCCTCTTGCTTGGATGAATTTCCTTACTGGTTGTCAAAGAATACTTTAAACAATAAAAATAAAAATAAAAACAAGCTCACAAAACAATATCACCAACAACAATGAAAGAAACAAGCCTTAGCTTTGTTAAGGTAACAGGACTTTTTAGGGTTTATTATGGTAGCCTAACCTTGTTTATTCTGACTAGTCCAAGACCTGGGAGGACATCCAGTTCTTCATTTCTTTCCTAAGAAGTTTCCTACAGAATTCAGGGAGTTTTCACTTACTTCTTGAACGCCTCAGGAACAATTGCAAATAACAGCAAGCAATTATACAAAAGTCATGATTGTTTCCAGACATTCCTGAGTATTTTATATAGATTAACTTACCTAACTGTTATAAAACATCGATGCATAAATGTTATTATTCTCAGTTCACAGCTGGAAGAACTGAAGCACAGAAAAGTTAAATCACCTGCCCAGGGTTGGATGCACCATTCGCTTGGGGAATGTCACGTGACAATAAGTAGCTGCAGAGGACCTGAATCCTGGCAACTACCTCCCCAGACTGGGTTCTGTCAAAAAACCACACACACACACACACACACACACACACACACACACACACACACACGGCAATCCTTAAAAGACCCCAGCAATTCACCAGCCACTTTTATGTAGTAGAAAAGGTACCATCTTGTGGGTCATTTTCCAGCTTTAGTGATAACACAAACACCACGTTATATTTTTTATTAATATTCTGGCAAGTGGGATGGCTCACTGGAAGGCCTCTGGGACTGTCAGTGTGGAGGTGATTGAAGGCCCTACTTCAAAAGACCAGTTTTAGTCTTATCTGATTTGTATAAAGGGATATAGGTTGTTCCTGATCAGAAATGCTTAGGACCAAAAGGGTTTTGGATTTTAGATTTTTTGAGAATATTTATATACATGTAATGAGGTATCTTGAGGATGGGTCCCAAATCCAACCACAAAATTCATTATTAATTCATATACACATTGTTTGCAGGATTTTTTGAAATGATTTTTTTTTCCTGAAATCATTCTGTAGCCAAGGTTGGTCTCAAGCCCAGAATCCTCAAGCCACCTGAGTGCTGAGGTCACAGGCACCTGCTGCTGTGCCTTGTACCCACAGATAATTTTACAGCAGATTTTTAGTGTGCCTGCATTTAGATTGTCGTACACTATGAGGGCAAGTGTGCAATGCTCCACTTAGAGCTTCGAGTCAGTGCTCAGAAAGTTTCAGGCTACAGAACATTCCAGTTTCACATCAGGGTGGATTCTCAGTTTGAAGAAGGATTTTTTTTTTGATAAAACACTTATGTAAGTATTCTTACTTAATACTATTAATGATAGATATTCCCATATATCCTAGTAAGTGAGTCTAGAAGTTTGCAGAAAGTGATGCAGGTCGTTGTGCCAGATGGTGGTCGGATGAAGCAAAAGGGTTGTACAGCCCTGTGGTCAATCTGAAGTATAATTTGCTGTTTCTCACTTGTACTCACTAGCTCCCTGGCAGGAAGGACCGCTTTATTATCATAACACGTAGTGAATCTTTAGAGATCTGAAAGATGGAATGAGAATTCTTGGAGGCTTCTGTGAAGAATTCTCCAAAAAGTAGGTGAAGATCTTTTGGGCTACACAAAGTAGCACATTTTAGCTGAAATGACACAGTCACAGGCGGATGGCTGGGCTGATATTGTGAGTTCATATGTCCTCAAATGACCAGTGGCGATTTTCCCTTGCCCAACTTCCGACAATAAAACATATAAATCAATATACTAAGAGATGAATAATAAACAATATTCATCTCAGGGAAGCACAAGGAACAGCAGGCAAGCACAGGCAAACATGCATAAATACATAACGCACAAAAAAGCGCACATGCACACGCAAACATACATATACACAAAAGGCATCGCCTACTTCATTTTAACTACTGATCGCCCAAAAAATGATCCGAATTTGATGATCATACTAACATGTTACTGAAGACTGTATGTATGTGTTATAACAGGGTTTGTGGTGTGTGCATACATATGTGAAGATGTTCTAGCATGCACCTCTCTTGACTAAAACACTGGGCCTCACAGGACGAAAGTGTGTGGTTGAGAAGGTGGGAGATCGACAGGCAGAAGCCTGGGAGAGTTGTTTGGGGCCGAGTTCCCTGTAGATTCCTTACCTCCGTGGTTCTCATCTTCTCCCATAATAATCTTCAAGGATCGGATGATTTGCTCTGCTATCACGGGACTCATGGATGTCGCGTAAGTAGCACTATGGGAGTGAACCCGAACATAATCCACAAGTTCCTAAAATGAAGGCAGAACCCAAAAATGTAAGCAAATAATTCTCAGAACTTGTCCTCTGCACATCCCAGCAAAGCATTTGCCTCTGGTCCTCAAGAGAGGACAGTTCTCTGTCTAACCCTCATATACTTTGTGGAACATCCAGCTCCTTAGTTTTTTTTACCTCCTTTTTCTTAGTCTTTCCCGTCAAAATCTAGAAACTGTACAAAAGTTAGTGGCAGCTACAAATTTAGAGTTGGCCTGGACGGCAAAAACTGGGCATATGGAGGAAAAATGATTGCTGAAATATCTGCCTTGCACAAGAGCAAACGCCTAGGAATGGTAGACAATACAAAATCTGGTTCTTTTGTTCCTTGAGATTATTAGCAATTGTGCCGTGCACTCTAACAGTGCAGGTGGGAGATGCATGGAATCGACTGAAAGATTGAGGGGAAAGGGAGGGTGCCGCTAAGAGGAGCAGTCGGGGGACACTCCTGTGAGGAGACAGGGCTTATGAAGCTTTGATGCAAACGACAGATGAAGAAGAAATGACAACCCAACCAGGGAGATGTGCGAGTTCAGAGAAACAAGACACCCCAGAAAACGAATGTCATCCTTCCACTCCTGATCCCCACCAACAATATACTCTTCCCATTTTGGTCTTTTCTTCAAGCAGTCAATGAACCTGGGCTGGCCTTGTGCTCTGCTTTCAGAAGAAGAGCTACCATAGTGCTGATTGTGAGCCCACCTCAAAGGCCTTGGTCACTTTGGTTCAGCATGGCGAATGGTTTGTTTCCTTTCTTGCTTTACTTCCAGATTCTTTTCTTACACTTCATTTCATTCCAATTCCCCTATTCTCTTACCTTCTATTTTTCCTTCTAGCAAGTATATTAAAGACCTGTGTTGGGCTATATCCTAGATTCGTATGTGAGGCTAGGCAGAAGGAGGACTGAGGTCGTATTCTAGTTTGACATCTTTGCCTGTTCTTTTTTTTTTTTTCTTTTCTGAATCATAGAAAAGTAGTTGGAAGTATATTTCCTTCTCTTGAAGAGTGTAGATGACATGGCAGGCCTCGAAGCCTCAGCTACATGGCATTTAAGGAAGTTCGCTCTGGAAGTGCTGGAGCCCATCAAAGAGAGCTCTTTGGTAATTTTCTAAGAAGTACAGATAAACTGTCCTTCAGAGTTTGTGTTCTGCCCTATGATAAATGGCAATAGGGGTTTTCATTCTCTGTTGAGATTAAATACTTTCCCATGGGCTGCTAGGGGAGGTTAGAAGGGGGCAGTCAGTGAGTCATAGGCATTGGACAATAGAGGCTTATAGGAGCCTGTGTCTATGGAGGAGTGTTTTCCAGGGGTGATCTGGCCACAGTAGATGAGTGGATATGGAGGAATTCAGAGGAGGCTAAAAAGCACGTATATTGGCTTGCCAAAATGAGGATTAATGGTGGAATGTAAAGGCAAAGAATAGAGAGTCAACTGGGAGAAGAGGGAGAAGCTAGTGGTTTGGGGACAAGTTGATCAGGAGTTGTTTCCTCGGAGGGGAGGATGTCCTAGAGTTGAAACAACTTCTGGAACCTAATTGCTTACTCCAAATCCTGACTTTGTTACTGACAGCTAAGTGACTATGTACAAATAACAAAGTTTACTATCTCAGTCTTCTTCTCTGCAAAGTGAGAAAGCAGTGATGCTTTCATTAGCTACCTGAGAGTGATTATAAGAATGTGTATATAAATATATTAGAAAATATGTGAATACATATAGAAGGTACATTATGGTATTTAATGCAAGTTGATGGCAGTGGTTAGACTATTAATTTAAAGATTTGTAGAACAGGAAGCATTTGTGGGGTGGAGTGAGGGACCAAAACACAAAACTTCTTGGGATTTTGTTATTTCATTTTGCTTATTTGCAAAGGGGATGATCTAAGGTTAAATTACCTGCATGTGGGCAGCTGCAAGGAAGCAAACCAGTGATACATAGCTTGTATTTCCCTCCATCCCAAGATGGATAGTGGTGGCAGCAGTGAAACCAAACCAAACTTAACCTAACCTAACCTAGCCACTACTGACTACAACAGTAAAACAGACAGACCTTTGGGAGAAAGGAGAGCACAAACTTGAGCTATTGAATGACTTGGAGGAGAAAATGAGGCCAGAAGCTGACACCATAGCCAACGATCCCAGGATGCTTTCAAGTCTATTTTAAGAACTTTGTATATGTTAATTCACTTACAATAACTCTGAGGTAGGCAATGCTTTTTAATCCCATATATATATATATATATATATATATATATATATGTGATAATTAAGCCACAGACATCCTGAAAATTCCTCACAAAGGATGGTAAGGTGAGGATTTGAAACCAATGATTCTGGTTCAGGAGTCTCCGCTTTTAATGCTATGCTTATTACCTGTCCAAAACCAGTGAAGAGTAGCCTCAATATGAAAGGAAGTGAGTCTCAGACAGCACGGAGACCAGCTCTTCTGCCTACCCTATGGTCTTTTCTCTTTACTCATTTGGAGTTTAAAGGATTTTGTGTGTACTATTCTTATTTGTTCAAAGGGAGTGAGTACCTAGAGAGAAAGCAATAAAGGGCACACTACTTTTCTTAAAGTCCACTGTCATAGGGACTTAGCAGAGAACCTGCTCATACTGACAGCTGAACTGAAAGTCAAGAAACTTCAGTGACAGGAAGGATGGGTAGTCACTTGATGCGTTAAGGATGAGCAAGATGTATTCTTAAGAACAAGTCCAGCAACATCTCAGCTGAGAAGTAGTCACCGCAAAGATTAGACAAGGAAACAAAGCAAAGCCTCCTTTGATCAGACCGTCCCCACCCCCATTTCCTTTCATGAATTGAGGAATTTATGCAGTCACTCACAAGCATCCTTAGTTGGAATAATAGCCCGTCAGTGAGAAATTGCCCCTGGGACCTGAAAATTCTCTGTCCTACAGCATATTCCTTTAGACTGAGTCCATTTTGTTCTAGTCCAGGTAAAGGTATTTTGCTTGTGTGGTTGAGGAAGGGTTCTGTAGTAACTTCTGGAGAATGTCAAGGAAAGCCCACCCATTCCATCCCTTTATCCCCTGATTGGGTACCACAAGCCATGAATTAAGAGTTGGCTTTTGTCCTTCGCAAGGTGAGTCTGCACTGTGTCTTTCTTTGGGAGTGGGTTAGAGGTATTCTCAGACACAGGCTTCCAAGCCCTGTTTTTTTCTTTTCAAGTTCAAAACCCTGATTATTTTCTTTACCCTTAGGCCCAGAGTTCAAGGGCAAGGGTGGGTTTTGAGGAGGAAATCACACAGGAGGCTTTTAGAATAAACATCTTGGTACTCATTCCGTGACCCCTATTTACTTCAAAGGGCTGTTATGTGCAGGCAGGGCTGAGAATGCCAGCACAGAAATGCCTCAGTAAGGGGCCTGCATTTGCTTGCTTTTCAGGCCACTGGATCTAACTATCATCCCAAACCTCTTCTCTATTTCCCACTTCCAACCTCTAGAATTACAACCCTGCAGTCTATCAGTCACAGGGCAATCTCTGCTTCACGTATTTGCCAGTCATCAATCTGTGGAGGTTGGGAGAAGTCAGTGGGCAACAGCAGGCATCCAAGAAGATGGAAGATCATGCTCAGGAGAACAGAGGGTAGGCGGTGTTGAGAAGTCAGTGGGCAACAGTCAGTATGCAAGTAGATACCAGATGATGCTCAGGAAAACAAGAAGATGCAGGATCATGCTCAGGAGAACAAGAAGATGAAGGATCATGCTCAAGAGAGCAGAGGGCAGGCAGTGTTGATCACATCCTCTCAGCAGTTAGATAAATAAAAATTGAAATCATTATCTAGCTTTTCACCTGGGACATCGTGGAAGGATGCCCTCCTGAGTATTGAATTGTTCACTGTCAACAGAGTTCCAAACTCAAACAGTAAAAGAGGAAAGCCTCATAGGCTTTAGAGACAGTGCTTCAGCTTAGAATTACCCCTGATTCACCAAGATGAATTTGTAGAACACCTAATAAGAAGGAAAACTGAGATCCCAAGAGCACGTCTGCTTTCCATGAGACCTTTGCACCAAGCGCATTTCCCCCTGCCCCTCACTTGTTTCTAAGTATTTTTCACCTGCCTGATTTTTCTGGTTGGTAATGTGCAAATCTCTGCTCTTGATCCACTCCACAAAGATTCCTAGAACATCTTCATTGGAATGATTGAGAATATTGTCTCTGAACTGCCAACCCGAGAGCCTGCATGGTACTGAGCTCTTTAAATACTTTACAGCTGTGTACCTTGGTCTTTTCCTAAGACTCCTAACAGTGGGACAAGAGGCTGTCTCTGAACTCTGTTACCTGCTTCTGGGACCCTTCCCTCCTACTGGGTTGCCACTTTCAGTCTTTGATGGAGGACGGTCATCTGTCTATCTGTTGCTTTCATTGGTTAATTAATAAAGAAACTGCTTGGCCTGATAGGTCAGAACATAGGAGGGTGGAGTAGACAAAACAGAATGCTGGGAAGAAGGGAAGTGAGGCAGATGCCTCAGACAGATGCTAATAGCTCTCCTCTCCAAGATGGACGCAGGTTAAGATCCTTCTGCAGGTTAAGATCCTTCCCAGTCAGCCACCACCTTGTGGTGCTACACAGATTATAAGAAATGGGTTAATCAAGATATGAGAATTAGCCAATAAGAGGCTGAAACTAATGGGCCAAGCAGTGTTTAAATGAATAGTATTTGTGTGTTGTTATTTCAGGGCATAAGCTAGCCAGGCAACCGGGAGCTGGGCAGGAATGCAGCCCGCAGCTCCTCACTACAAGTCTTAATAGGAGAGGAGGTGCCTAGTCTCCTGCAACTTGGTATGCCATGGCTGATATACATGGGAGGCCTGCCTTTTTCTTATGAGAAAGGAGAAAAATTGAAGGGAAGCAGAAGAGGGGAAGTTAGGGGGGGATGTCTTGGAGGAGAAACTGTTTTGGCTGGAGAATAAATAAATAATAGGAAAGAATATTGTTTGTAAATGGAGACTAACAAGAGATTTCAGAGCCAAGTATTTTTATATTTATCTAGAGTTTTGAACCCACTTGATTATTTTCGAGACTTGTGGCCAAATTCTCTTGCTCAGCCTCCATGTACTGAGTTCTGTTTGTGTCTTCAAGGTTTTGCCTCTTGGTGTTTTAGGGCTGTGTGTTGCAGTTTGGCTAGCGAGGTCTGGCCAAACATATTCTAATTCATGATGCCACCTGGTGGTTAATTGAGATACTGCAGTATAACATGGGTTAAGGAAAAAAAATGCATGCGTGAAGCACGTCTTGATTTATGATAGCTTTCACAATTGTTCAGTCTCTACCCTAAAGGGTTAGAAATCATGTGGATAAGAGTGTTCCATTTCGGAAACCCTGCACATGCCTTCAGAACAGAAAGCCTGTGCAGGATCCCAAGGAACTGTCCCTCCTGCCGCTAGTCCCAGGCCTTTGTTTAAAATAGGTATCAAATGAAGGCACTCCAAGGAGAAAAATGTGACATCCAACACATCTGACAGCGTTTCAAGGATCTGCTTGCTTCAGTTTATCCAGGTGCCTTTGGTTCAGGAAACAGAGTTACGCTTGATTAAAAGTTTTGTGCCTCAGAACTGCTGCTAAAGCAATCAAGGCCATACAAGGCAAGGTAACCCGGATCTGACAGCTCCTAACCCCGAGACCCTCTGATCCCGCTGATGTGACAGTTGGGAAGGAAATATTAACCTGTCACTAGGCTTTGCTGAAGTCTTTGAGGGCCTAACAGTCCCTCTGTTTCTAGCATTACCTAGCTCATCCCCGTAGGGCACTGGAGGGAGGATGATATACAATGTCTTGAGTATTGAAGACCACAGCAATTAAAGGAGGGCAAAGACCCCTGGAAACAGTATTTTAGGCATCTTTATGCCTCATGGTAAGTGCCCAAGATGAAATGTGTTGTTTTAAATCACTGGCTTTTAGTGATAGTAGCTGCCTGTTACATATCCCCCCAACTGGACTAACTGGTTGACCAGTAGGCTAAACTTTTGTTCCTGCTGGTCAGAGTGGATAAGTAACTGAATAAGTAACTCTAGAGACCCCTGTGTCACCCCTCACCCAGTTTTAAAAGATGGTATCTCTCTGTGTAGCCTTGACTGTCCTGGAACTCATTCTGTAGACCAGGCTGGCCTCGAACTCATTGAGATCTGCCTGCTTCTGCCTTCTGAGTGAGTGTTGGGATTAAAGGCATGTGCCACCACTGCCTGGCCTAGACAACATTTTAGCAGCACCTCCATGCACAATGCCCCTCTAGTAGGAGCTATACTACAGTCCCTTTGGGACAAATGTAAGCTTGTATGAAACAACCGCCATGATTTGGAAAAGGTACATACAGGCAAAGGGACCAGGGCACAGTTTCTTTGTCCCTTAGATCTAGATCTGAATATTTGATTTTCCTTTTTACTTCTTTAACAGTATAATGTCATCTGATCCAAATTTTCAGACATTTTGAGAATATAGACGATGGGTTATATAACATTATAGGAAAGTTATTTCTTAGGAAAATAATCTTAAAAGTCCATTTTTGTTCTGCCTTTGTTTAGGTGACAATTTGTAAAATCCATCAGGTTAGCTTCTCTAATACATGAACTTTTCCTATTGTTTTTATCACTTACTTTATTTTCAACACACACACACACACACCCACACCCACCCACCCACCCCCCCCCCCACACACCCTCCTAATTCTTTAAGTTTTGAATTTAAAAAATTGTATGCACATGTTGCCTGCATGTGTGCCATATTTGAGCAGTGCCAGCTGAGGCTTCAGATCCTTGGGGCTGAAGATTGTGTTGAGCCACTGTGGGGTGCCAGGAATTTAAGCCAGAAGAGCAACCAGTAGTCTCAACTACTGATCCATCTCTCTACCCCACTCCCTTGTAGTTCTTATGGGATCTCTTATCAGTTCTTTGGTTTGGTGTATGCTGTTGTCTCTTGTGAAATTAAGCCTCCCACTATTTGTCTACAAGACTGGTTGACGATCAGTCATTCCACAAGATGTCTTAGACATTGTCCTTCTGAGTTTCCTCTCTCCTAGGTGTTCTACAAATTGTACCCTTGCTGTTGTTATCTGGTTGTGATCACCCTTTTCCCACTTTTCTTTACTCCATGTTACAGGGGAGTAGAACTGAAATTTACGTCGAATTCAGAGAAGACCTGCTTCCCTAGGGTGTTCAGGATCTCCACAAACACTAAACTTTTCTTTCTTACCTTTTTCCCAGCTATATAGCCTCCCGAGGCCGCAAAGCTTTTGGTGAATGTCCCCATGTATACGTCCACATCTTCAGGGGCCAGTCCAAAGAAGTCTCTGACACCTTGGCCATTGGGGCCCGTAGCACCAATACTGTGAGCTTCATCGACGTAGAGGTAAGCCTTGTATTTCTTCTTTAGAGCCACTATCTGAGGCAGATTCACAATGGAACCTTCCATGCTAGCACAGAAGGAAAAAATCTTGGTAAGTAGTGAATAGCCTTCTGGAAAGTTCTTTTGCTTTCTTTCTAGTGCTTCCTAGAAAATCTGCCCTGTCACCGTCAGGCTGCTGACAAGGATCTGTCACTCTTCTATTGGCATATCTTATTCAGCAATGACAACCTTTCAATCTTCTCTGCTCCATGCTACTTTAATAAAATACTTATAGTTGATGGATTGAGTTGTTATCCTTAGTTCTTAACTCAGAAATGAACTTGCCATACTGTTGATCTGATTTATTTGTAAAGCTGCTTTTTGCAGTTAGATCAATGCTTTGGGGATAGGTTTTCTGCTGGTCTTAATAAAAGTGCTCCACCCTGAGCCACTTTGATCTATCTGCTATTGCTTGTTTGACAATGCTGGCCAGAACTGCTAAAGATTAAACTGGGGAACTAAAAATACAGAACTTTAGACATAGTAGTATCAATTATCACATAATAGAAAATCTCTTGGTATTCCTGCTCAGCATTCATCACAGATCAGTCTCCTGGTGGCACCCTTTCTTGATGATTCTTCAGAGTGACAGGCCAGAAGTTGATTAAGCCTTAAAACTCCAGATAGGTTTAAGGCTCAGGTTTCTGGGTTCCTCCCACCGAAGTTCCAGAGGTGGTGGGTAAGGAGGCGGGACAGATCAATGGTATATACAAGCTTCCATGATGTGGGAGTGATTTTTTTATTAATAAAGAAATTGCCTAGGCCCATTGGAAATAGAGGTTGTTAATGGATAATCATCGATAATAGTAAAGCTTATAGTCATGTTAGTTAGATTTTCTAGATATATAGAGATATATTTCAGTTAGATAGACATTCTTCATATATCTCAAAGACTACAGAATATGACATTTAAAATATTTTAATAACTTAGGTTTTTTTATGACAATGAGACATGTCTACTCCTGGCAGCCCTAGCTACTTCAAGAGAAAGATGGGCAATAAAGAGGCTCCTTATGGAGTTTGATAGCCATTTGGACAAAAAACTGCTCTTGCCTGGACTAATGCATAAACTGGACACAAAGAACCCGCAGAGAGAGGACTGCTAAACTTGCCTAAAGGTGAGATGATCTTTCAGGGTTCCTGACTCATGAAAGAGTCTGTGAGACATTCTGCAGGACACAGCAAAAAGTGACTAACTGTCTTTGAAATTTCTTACTTCATGGAAATGTCTGCTGTATACTATGGGCCTGAAGGCCAAAGATGGATGCCCCAATGGTACAGAGAAACTTTGGGTGACTGTACAGGCAGTGAGATGTCTCTGTCATTTCTAAAATTTTAAAAGTTACTTACTTCTTGTTTACTTAGGTAATATTATATCCTTCTGGAGTCTTTGATGGAGTTAAAAAATGGATACATAGTTGTAGTTTTCCTTAGTTATAATAAAAGATAAAGTAGATATAAATATTGTAACTATAATTCTTACTTGATAACTGTTTTGTTATATATAATTTTACTATGTTAAAGTTAAAGCCTTTCTTTTTTGTTTAAATAAAAAAGGGGAAATGATGTGGGAGTGATTTCATATTAATAAAGAAACTGCCTAGGCCCATTTGATAGGCCAACCCTTAGGTGGGTGGAGTAAACAGAACAGGATGCTGGGAGAAAGAAGCTGAGTCAGAGAGTCGCCATGATCTCCCACTCCAAACAGACACAGGTTAAGATCTTCCCTGGTAAACCACCTCGTGGGCTACACAGATTATTAGAAATGGGTTAGATCAATATGTAAGAGTTAGCCAATAAGAGGCTGGAACTAATGGGCCAAGCAGTGTTTAAAAGAATACAGTTTCCGTGTAATTATTTCGGGTAAAGCTAGCCGGGTGGCGGGAAGCAGCCCTGCCGCTCTTATTTCTACACTTCCAGGATAAACTCACACCAGTGGCTAAGGACATCACTTTCGGATTTACCACTACTAACCAACTCTTTTGCTTTAGACCTATTTTATTATTTATTTTAGTTTTTAAAGTTTTAGATTTCTTTTTTTTAAATTGACAAAACTTCTTGTAATAATAGCTTTATGTTTGTAGAACAACTGAATAAAAGGTACTGAGGACTCTTGTATCCCCAGTTTTACCAAGTTTCTCCTGACATTAAGGTCACGCACTAGTGTGGGCAATTTATAACAATTTCATGAGCCAATTTTGATACATTAACTAAAATCCCTAGTTTAGTGTTTACTCTTTGTGCTATATATTCTATATGTTTTCCAAAAGAATAAGGATAGGTTCCCAGATTGGTATGTCATGCTTACCCAGGGTTATGTTAATCCCTGTCATCCCCATTTTAGTGTGTGTAGTGATCAAGAGAGTGTCTAAATGTTTTATTGTCCATGGTAGTGCAAACTGTAAAATGTTTCAAGTCCTTAGAGAAAGATAATATAAGGCCAAATAATAAGTAAAATTAAATTTAATATTTACATAGCACCTCTGGATCTCAATGGGTTTTAAAGAACATTGGCTCGACTTAGTTCTCAAACCACTGGAAGCTTTTGCACTGCATAGCTTGGGCTGTACAAACACTCTGGCTCTAAAAAAAACCAGACTCACATGTTCACAACACAATGCAGCTTGTCAAACAACTCAAGCAACAATTTAGCTAAAGACTAATCGTTTGAAGAGTGGTGAACTTCGCCATTCTCCCCTGTTAGGTCTTAGACTGTATATAATACATTAAAAATAAGTTTAAGCGTTAGGTTGATTCAGTCAAAACAGTTCATTAAGTGTCACAGCTACCCAGACCGAAAGAGTTGACTTTAACCATCAATGATACAGCACATGGGTATTTCATGAGGTCATTTGGATGGCCAAGTTCTGATTTTAATGGAAGACCAAATGATCTTCTCTTATGCATCTTTGTGAGTTACTTCCAGTGCTACGTTCAATTTCTTGCTTTTTAGAGTGCTCACCCCTGAGGAGGCAATATTACTATCTGTCTACCTTCGGCTTAGATTGGGGTCACAGCACTTTCTAAACTGGGACTTGGGCAGCCTATCTGATGTTTTCCATTATCCCTCACTTCATTGTTATGTAGTAGAGGCAGGATGATGAAGCTTTCCTCCCAGAATCTTTATAATGGCTAGTATTCATGCTTGTCAACTGTCAGACCATCCCAGGCACTCAGTGAGCTTGCAAGCAGAAAGTTTCACTGAAGCCTGATGTGATAAAAAGGAATCTTTAACAAAGTTCTGTGTTTAATCTTCTACAATAAAGGCATGTGAGTGTCATTGCAGAGGTCACGCATGAGAAATGATTCCAAACCCTCAGAATTCTTAGATTTTGCTTGTCTTTAAAATGCTGTAAGTAGGTAACACAAAATATGCTAGACACAAACAGCCATTCTTTTTTTTTTCCTGGAACTGAATTTGGCAGGAGGCAAAGCTAACATTGACAGCGTTTGTAGACACTCCCCACATCTAATCAGCCATTTTCCAGGGGCTGCTCTAGCTAGGTAAGGACCTAACCACCTGGCTTGTATTTCTTCCTCCAAGATTAATGACTCTACAATACTGCTTATTTGGGGGTTAATGCAGGCATACATAGAGTCCTAAGTAGAACTCAGCTTTTATATAGTTATATTCATCCACAATGGTTTCATTCCCCCCCCCCAGTATTATTGAATTTGCATAGAACCTTTTGTTATAGTGGGATAACGAGTCTGGGTGAAAGTGTAAAATCACTATTTGTGTTATTATCACTATTTTCTGTCAAAACAATCAAGCAATAAAGAAAAACACATATAGTATGTTGTTATTTTTTCCTGGGTGAAAGGTTTTGTTTTTCTTTTGGCTTTAGTAGAAGAAAAAGAAATAAAATACAGCTATAAATAAGATAATGTCATCAGTTTATCTGAGACTCTGTCTAGGGACTTGAATTGTTCTTTAGGCCACAAGTCAGTAAGTTACTTATTTTTTATTGTATAATGCAGTAGTTGAATGGCAATTCCTTTTAAAATTGTCTCATCATTCTCTTCTCCACATGAAAACCAAAAATTAAGCCATAGCTCAGGAAACTTGTACGGTGGAAAACTCTTCTTGGCAGCCCAAGGTTTAATCCAAGAGAAAAGAGGAAAGGGTGGGGTAGAGACAAAGAGGTTCGAGGAAAAGGGAGAAAAGAGGGGGATGTAGAGAGAAGGAAAGGGATGGCGAGAAGAGACAGAGACTGAGCTAGACAAAAAGGAGAACGAGGGAGGAGAGGGATTAAGACAAAACCCATCTATTCTTTGTCTTTACATGTTGAAACTATACAGAATTGGGGAAAGTTTATCATTGAGATTATTCTTAATTTTTCTCAGTTTGAGGGAGAAGAACTCTTAATCTATTCTTAAACTCAAGACATTCTGCAAATTCGTCATATGCTGATGTGTACGATTTGGGAAAGGTTGGCGCATACTATGAAACTCTTTAGATTCTGAAAGTTTGGGCTCCCACCATGCTGGTTTGTGTCCCAAGTTACCTGGGACATCTTTACTAGCATCATGTTTTTTTTTTTTTAATAACTTTGAGATTTCTTAGTCATTATGAATTAATAAGGAATCTGTTCTCCTCAGATACTACAAAAATAGTGCTGTAGTCAAAACAGATGTTCGGTTTGAAATGATTTTTAGGACTGAAACAACAAAGTCAGAGAAGTAATGACTTTAAGCTGGGTATGAGACAGTCACCTTGACCAGACAAGATGAAGAACAGGTCTCAGAGAAAAACCAACAAGGCTAGTCTTGGCAGACTCTGGCTTGTCAGCTCAAGCAACATAAGGTTCGTGTTTTCTTTTTTTAGTAACCTCAACTCAATAGGTTGTTAGGATTTTTAAACATATTCTTGTACTTAATGTATTTAATGGTGGATCAGAATGGCTTCTAAGACCATCGTAGACTGTCCCGCCTGTGGTAGACCAAGACTCATGTGTCCAGACGCTACAGATAGACTTTTGTTGTGAGCTTTTGGTTCAGATTTGCTGTGAGCAAGGAGGGTACATTTTCCTTTTGCTTTTTCACTGGCTGAAGTAAACCTTGACTATTTGCTTGTGCTGTCTCTGTCCTTGTGTGAAATCTTCTCCTTCGAGAAGACCCCAGACTACTGACATGATTAGGAGGAGGGATGTTCTCCAAACCACAGCAATATATGGTTAACACAATATTAGGAAATCAGATTAAAAGAATGCGATTTGACTTTTTGATACCAAGTCATGGATTCATCGACACTTAGATTTGCATTTCCAATTCCCTTAATTTACATATGGAGAAGATGAAGCCTAGATAGGATTACTTTAAGTCAGAGTGACTTTGTACTTTCAGAGTTTACAAGTTGGATGCCAACAGACAGGTGGCCTCTTCTATCTGCAGAGAGCCTTTGTTTCACCAGGGTCACCTGGTTATTAATACCAGCTCTGCTTCATTTTACTAATCTGCCTAGGGCAATTTATCTAAGGCCTGAGAGCCTCTGTTTCTTCATCTTAATAGTACTCTCAGCAGCCTTGTGCAATGTCATACACTTAGAATATTGAGCAAGGACCAGACACAAGGACAATATGAGCCCTCACTTTGCTGTCATCCTTTTCTGTATGGAGAGCAAATCAGTATTGCTATGTCGGCAGTTTATTGCTCTCCAACCTGAAACCTCTTCAATGGAAAATGTGAAATTATGAGGACAGTTACTCTTTGTGTGGGCTTTCTATGGGCTTTGCGTCTGACAGATCCTGCCTCATATGATCTTTCTTAACACTTACATATATGTTCTAAGGAGGGTACACAGCTATGGGGACCAATGCCGGGATTTGAATCCAGGTTCCAAATCTGGCTCCAAATCCCGACTCCTCTCCAATTTTTACAAAGATAAGAACTTTCATGCCTATGGCAATAATAATTATTGTTGCTAATTTTGGGAAGTGTTCTGGATTCTCAGGCTAGTCACCTAGACACTTCTTGTTTGAAGCCTACTTGAAACTTTGTGACTTGAAAACTTAACCTTTTTCTTTAAGAATCATGAAAAAATTGCTGTGGATGAACAACTCACGGTGTGGTACTTTGCCTGTGGGGCAGAGAAGTAAGAGACAAAACAGCAAGAACAAAGATGACCCTAAGAGTTAAAATGCAAAAGAGGCTTTGGGGAGTGTCCAATCAGGTATGTGTGTACATTCCCAACCCGGACACTTTGGAAAGCGCGATGTAAAGCAATTTCATTTTCTGGTGACAGTTCTACACTGGCATGCCCAAGCGAAAGCTTTCCAACTGGAATTTTGCTTCAGAATTTATGTTACCCTAGTCTTGGTTGACAAAGGACTGCTGGTGGGATGGAGGCTGTTGGGATGACATAACCATCATGCAGAGAAGATGAGAGGAAGTTTATGACATGGAAACTTTGCCTGGTGTACATGCTAGGTTGTTTGATCTGCAGCAAACTGATGCAAAGATAGAGGCATGCAAGCTTCCTGTTGCTGTGTACACAATCCAATCTTCCCACCAAGAGTTAAAGTATCAATCTCCTTTCTGGGAATGCAGGCTATCTCTGGGGTGTGTTTGGCCTGCAGGGCACAGCATGAGTTCTGGGCCACTCTCTTAAAACAATGGCAATTTCTGGGTTTTCTGTCTTGGAAGCCAGGGATCCTGTGCGAGGGAGCTCTGAATAGATGATCTGATGTCTTGTCAATACTACATCATACAGATCCTGGTGTTGGTGACCATAAAACAAAACCAGATTCATGTGAATGAGAAAAAGGCAGCCCAGTCACCATCCAAAAGCCAGTGCTAAATATGTGAGTGAGGAAATTTTGGATATTCCATGCTTGCTTGAATTTTTAACTGACTGCGGTCTTGGGAATGAGTTCAGTGAATGCTGCGTGATAGCAGACCTGACTCACAGGATCTAGGAAAATAAGAAATGATCACTGTAAATCTTTTCATATATAGCATAAGTCAACTAAGAGTCACCGTTGCTCAATTGTGGTTTTGTGCCTCATTGGCTTAGGGACAGAAACGTGCACCTGCAAACCTTCTCTTCCCCACTCCCCACAGGACAGGATAAAGCCTAGCTTAGCCCCTAGTAAGTCCAGCTACTGTAGTGGTTTCTGATGAAAATATTTGTTAGTAAAACATGGATGGAGACTAATTTCAGCCACAATCCAAGCGCTTAAAAATGTGACTTTCCTTTAGTGGAAATAAGTTCTGTTTGTTTGAAATTGGGTTCTTTTGACTCTGGTGAAAGGAGATGCCCAGTGTGCCTTTCCTCAGCCAATTCATCCTCCTATGAGTCCAAACCTGAATGACAGGTGTTTAGATAAGGGCTGCTTGAATCCCTCTCAGGCTGGTAGCTGCTATAAACTACACAGGGAGAAAGCTTGCCACTTAGGTTTACGACAGCACAGACTCGGGGTGAGATTACTTCCTCAAAGTTCAAGTTCAGGGCCAGTGAGTAGTTAACTATCCAAGAAGAGGGCTTTCTCAGCCTTGGCAGTATTGCTATTTGGAACGACAGAATTCTTCTTGATGCCTCGTGCTTTGCAGGACGCCCAGGAGCAATCCCTGCCTCTCCCCACTAGATGTCAATAGTATTCCACTTCATGTGTGGCCACTAACACCGGCCAAATGCTCTCTGGTTGGAGACAGGGTAAAAATTACCCCAGCTTTCTAGATCACTGTTTTAGAGATCTTGTAAACACTGCCCACTCCTGGGGTCGACCTTAGACAATAATGAGGGAAGTGTGGAGCTGCCATCTTTGCTAATACAGGATTCCAATCACTTAAAATAAATAAATAAAAAAGACTCTGGTTTTTATTTTATCTATGACTTGGAGAATTCACCCCCTCTTTCCAAAGAAAAGGATAGGGCACATTTCTCCTGTTACTCGGTATTGATGCAGATGGCGTTTGCTTATGATTGATAAAGATAACACCTTCGTGATCTCATTTGTTTTCTGTTGAAGAGGTTTCAAGTTAGGAAACATTAAACTGTCTATGTAGCAATGTTTGCTTTTCATGCAGAAGAGGAAGGGCTGCAGAAGGAGGACTCACAATGCTACTGTTGCCCTCATGTCTCCTTTGCAGTCACACTCTGGCTTGGGGTTCTCCAGCCCTCACTTCCTTCCTTTGTATTTCATGTCTCTCTCCGAGGCTCATAGGGGATAGAGCCCCAGGTTTCACTTCTGTAAGGATTGCTTGGGAATTGATTTAAGAAGGGGCACTCTGAGAAAATGTTTCCTTGGCTTACAGAATAGGGTGTAAACAGACGGAATGCTTGTGTGCAATTTCCATTTGAGCCACGGTAATCGATTTAGAAAGAGAATGAAGCAAATTCAATCACAGCCAGCAATATAAAAGCGCTGCTCAGAATGACTTAGTGGGTATTTTCCTGCTCAGCTTAAGGAAGGCAGGGAAAGAATCTTGAGAATATTACCAAATGCTAGGATCAGCATCCCACTGGTCCCACTCTGGAGGAAGGACTGCCCTCAAGGTTAGGCCCCTATATTCTGAGGCCAGTCGTTAACCTACTTAATTAATGACTGAAGTAAGTGCTTGGATATACTGTCCACATAAGGGGGCTGGGGTCACCCACTGAACCATCTGTGACAGACATGTCTTCCAACATCCTGATATTGAATAGCTCAGGCACAAAAGGTCTTTGAAATGCTAGGGCACTGGAAGGAAGCAATACAGATCAACACTGAGGACATTTCTAAGGAAGGCTTCACCAGCATGTCAGTCCCTAAGCCTTCCAGAAGATGCACAGAGCTGTAGAAAAGACAGGAAGCCCCAGATCTGGCCACTAATGTCGGTAGCTTTATCTTGTATTACTCTCTGGCATCTATAAGCACCTCCTTTATTTTTAGCAGGAAAGGTCTTATTCTCTTCATTGAGCAGCTTGCTGTGAGCCGCAAGTGTCAAAGGCCTCCAGTCTCTTACATACCTGTAAATGCCCTCTACTAGGATGAGGATCTTCTTCCATGCTCGGCCTGTGCGAGGCTGGCCATTGATGATGGATTCTCTCAGGAGCTTCTCTAGGCTCTGTACGTCTTTAAATAACGGGAAAAGAAAGATTGAGTTATGGGAGGGCTCTTGTTTGCCTTCTTCTTTTTGTTTCATGAGAGGATGCCAGAGTTATTTTTGCTTTTAACTTGTAATTTTATACTCAGACCTGGACTTTGAGAAAGCAAGGTTGGACCCAGAGAACTCCTGGGAGATTTGGGGGGTTATTTTCTACTAAAGCTTAACTCTGGTAGGATGAACAGTTGTGTCTGCACAGGCAGGCTGAGTCAGCTTACGGCTGTCTTATGCATCTCTTTGCCTGCCTGAGAGAACTTGGAAGTCAATACAATAGACACGTATCTAGTGAAGCTGGGGTTTCATTGTTAGGCAAAAACTGAACTCTGATGGATGAATTTAAGAGCCCCTCATCAGTTGCTTAGGCCCAAGTCTGTTAGGGTTTGCACAGCCTACCTGTGTGGTGCAAAAGATCTCATTATCCTCGGGGTGAGGGGTTGGGGGGCGGGGCTTGGACTTTGAACCGTCAGATGTTTTAGCAGTGTTCAGGTTGTAAAACAATATGGGGTCCTGCGTGAACTATTTGTGAGCTCGGGACACACTGCTAGTTGCTGGCAATTACCAAGCCCCCTTTTTCTTGTGTCTAATACCCTTTGAATGTTGTTTTTGTCATAGGTTGTTCATTTCTCCCAGGACCACTGTGGAGACCTGCTACAGGTTCTTCATGTGCTGAGTCAGGCCACTGCGGCACAGAGGATTTGGTAAAACTAAGGGGGCGGTTCTCAACCTTCCTAATGCTGAGACTCTTTAGCTGGCCTATGGTTGTAAATGGCAGAGTTGGGTTTTGAATCTGTACTCAGGTCCATAGTTGTAACCACAAACTTTTCCTGCCTTAGGTGAGAGCCCTTGCACCACCTTTTCTATCTCCAGAATGCTGCAGGGCAGGATGGAAGGGTGATGTCTGCTAGGACAGCCTTGTTCGCTTGTAATGGAAAATCACAAAGAGCGAAAGTAGGAGATGGCTGGGCTTGGGCTAAGAGGCCGTTTGGAAGGACTTAGGAAGCAACTCAGCTGTTTGGTGTTGTATGTGCTATTTACGTTTTAACTTTTCAAGTCAAAGTGAGTGAAAAATTACATAGTTAATGTGCATGTTTTTGTAGATTTACTATATTTGTACTCTGTATTTCTGCTGAAGAAAATTCACAGATCCTTGACTCTCCCCAGGGTACGATGAGAGACAGTGAGGAAGTTATCTGAGCATCAACCATGATGCTGAATGACAGATACGTGCTGATCAGTGTATGCTACTGAGGCTTACAAACTGTTCCTGTTTGTTATAATAATAAACCAATACAACCTCAGAAAGCCCTTCATGAATTAGTCTCTGAATACTTCCCTGAGACAGCTTCTCTGTGGTCCCCAACACACATCCTCCTGCTCTCCAATATGGTTCTGCCTCTAGTCTGTCCCGAAGGTATCCATCCACTCATCACCCAAGGCTCCCTTTAGACAGATGCATTTTGTCTGGAGCTAAGGTTTCCTTAGTAAACTGTATTTTTTCGTTTTGATTTCAAAGAGTCTCCTCTCTTCTGAATGTTTCCAGCTGACGCCATTGCTCACAACTAGATGGCAGCCAAGGAGACTGAAAGAAACTTTCCTGTTTCAGATTCTCAGGGCTTCTAAATCTTCACCTGCATCGCTAGCTTGTTTTTACTTTACTTTTAGGCTGAATGTCTAAACCATTGAAGGAACCCCTGGGAGTAGAGGAGACAGTCTCTCTGTTCTATAATCTACTTCAAGTTGTTAGCCTATGAATGGACAAAGAGATGGTCAACAAGAATTTGTGTTTAAACAAACATAAACATGACACTGCCTTTTCTAATTTTTTTGTACATAAATGAGACATCATACTAGTGGCTTTCATGCCATCCTCATAAAGGTAAGTCAAATTGAAGTAAAATAGAAGGTACTTTAATGTAGTGATATAAAATAATGCTTGTTTAAAAAGTTGTTTCTATAAAGGGGAATAATGGAACAGGACACATTACATGGGGGTAATAGGCCAGGATGGAAGAGGGGACACAGCTAACACTACTGACCTTCTGAAAAACTCATGAGAATATGCTATGTAGAAGCTTCCCAAAATACAAACATATTTAGAAACTGGAATTAATTGTAATGGGGCAACAGTGCCTTTGCTAGACACTACAGACTAACAAGTACAAACCACAGTGTCATAAATGACCTCCATTAGATTTGTTGTCAAGAGCGGTCCCATAGAACTCCAAATATTCCAGGCTACTATCATTGCTTTTCATTATCTTTTAGAACCGGATGGTGAGTAACTATTGCTGAAGGCACTGAGTATTTGAGTCAAAGAACTTGGAGAGAGCAAGTTGGTTCTAGCCTAGAAGCTTCACCCCTGTTTGCATAGTGCTAAAAGATACTATGTACATTGCTGGAGGATAAAAGTAATCATCAATTTAATCCAGCTGTGAACTCCAAAGGCTCTAGGAACTGTCAGCCGGATATGCCCACTATGCGATAGTGGCAGGAATGTCATGGGAGCGATCAACTACTTAATAATTGTATTTAAGGCCTATTCTCAAGATGGAACCTATTTCTGGCAATACTTTTGAAGCCAAAAACCTATGGCTAGATTGTCCCTTAACTCTTATTATTCTGATAAATGTACATAGTATTAAATTAACTCCTACTAGCTTATTGTGTTTTCGTAGATTAGTGCTTCATCAGAGAAGCTTCTTCTTTGTAGTAGATGATACTCAGCACAGAGATTCATGACTGGCCAAAGTCCTGCAAATTAGAGACTTTGGAATGCTCAGCTCTAAATTGGACATCCCTTCCATCCAAAGCTCAGGGATCATTGTCAAAGAGGGGGCAGAAAAATTGTAAGAGCCAGGGGTAGAGGATGACTGCAAGGAAATAGGGTTAGTTAGACATAAAAGGGCAATAGCACATATGATTTCTAAGCAGTTGTGACAGCATGCACAAGATTTGGGGAAAGTCAAATTAGACAAAAATCTCAGAATTGATAAGAGATGTGGACACAGAAGAGTCCCATCCTTAGCTAAGGAGTTGTTGAAAATTGATAGCTGCCAGGAAAGGAAGGATTAGTTCTCCTTAATGTTGTGTCTTCTGGTAGGCTGACTGTGCTCCAACAAATGTCCACATATCTAAAGGTAGATTGGCAGCACAAATTTAATGGGTTTTCCAAAAATTGAGAATACAAAGTTGTGTGGAAATGGGATAGAAGGTAGGTATGGGAGGCATAGGGGAGGGGAAAATATAATAAAAATTACCATCAAAGAGTTAGTGGAAATGTTAAAAATAAATGAGTGTTCTAAGATTAAAATATAAAGCTTTAAGCCACAAATGATTGAATGGTGCCTTCTATGGAGAGAGGATTCTAGTAGAGTTTGTGAAACCCCAAGTTTCCACATTTCTTCAAAATGCTTCAGAATCCTCAGAAAGGGTTGTTACAAGGGACTCAGGAGGCCTCACTCCTCCCTGAGTATTTGTAGGAGGTTAATGGCTACAGGGGGAGGGAGGACATTTTTTTCTTTTTAGCGGTGTAGCCACTCGGTATTCATTTAATGCTCCTGTAAATAACCCTCCACTCATGCTTCTGCAGGCAATTCAAATGAAATTTATTGATTCCCAATGATGTGAAATTAGAAAGGGGACTCATTAGGGTGAAGTATGATAAAATGCATTATATACATATCTTAAAAGTCACAATAAAATACACTACTGTGTATAATTAGCATATGCTAATTAAAACATTAAAAAGTGCTCTAGAATCAGTGAAGAATGAATAATCTGGCCCCTGGTTGGAGCTGGCTCCTCAACTTAAGCTTTTTTTTTTATGGTATGTAGTGAGCCAACTTAGGAATAGGCTGTTTTACTTCCTATAGTAGAAAAACGCAGATTCTCTTTGATGGTGGTTTGAAAAAAATGGCCACCAACGGAGTGGAGTGGTAGTATTAGGAGGTGTGGCCTTATTGGAGTAGGTGTGGTTTGTTGGAGGAAGTGTGTCACTATGGAAGCAGGCTTTGAGGTCTCATATATGTTCAAGCCAAGCATGGTCCACTTCCTGTTGCCTGTAAGATATAAGACTCTCAGCTACTTTTCTAGCACCATGTCTGCTTGCACACTGCCATGTCCCACCATAGTGATAATGGACTGAATCTCTTAACTGTAGGTGAGCCACCCCCAAAAAATGTTTTCCTCTATAAGGGTTGCCATGATCGTGGTGTCTCTTTACACCAATAGAAACCCTAAGACAATACATAACAAGTAGGAATTCCAAGGCTACACTGCATATTCTGCAGGGAGATTCCAGCTGCTAGTGGGATAGGGCTGCAATAGCTATGGTATCCACTGGCTATGGTATCCACTGGCTATGGTATCCAATGGCTATGGTATCCAATAGCTATGGTATCTAGTGGCGATGGTATCCAGTGGCTATGGTATCTAGTGTCTATGGTATCCAGTGGCTATGGTATCTAGTGTCTATGGTATCCAGTGGCTATGTTATCCAATAGCTATGGTATCCAGTGGCTATGGTATCCAGTGGCTATAGTATCCAATAGCTATGGTATCCAGTGGCTATGGTATCCAATGGCTTTTTCAAAAGGTACCACATCTGTCTGAGTCCAACACATTCTGTGGGAATAGAGTCATATTGAATGCTGTACATTTGTAAATGTCCTTGCTATATCCCTTCAGCTCAACTCTTTTTACAAACATAGATCATTCTTTGCTCCCCTCCAAAATAGCCCCCTTTTTTGTTTGCAGAACCGTATTTGATCTGGAAAAGCAGTAGTTTTAAATTAATCACAAAAGCGAATTGGTATTTATATATGGTTCCCTGGGTCTGTCATCCCTCAGGTAATGCCGGTAGCCATCATTTTCCATTAGGAGTGAAGTCTTGGACACTGTCGTAAGCTGCCTGTTGCTACCTCCTTCCTGGATGCTCTCACCTTGTTTATCTGCTGTACTTCTCCAGTTT